CTTAACGGCGCGGGGGGGAGCGAGAGGCTGTTTATAAGGCTTCCAGAAGCTCAATTCAGTGAGGTTTTTGTTCGTTGTCAGTGTCTGACAGTTATGGCTTCCATTTTGCTTTTCTCGTCGTTCCTCTGCAGAGGAATCCCCAAGTCTCTCCTTGTACGAGTGCAGCAGAGTGGGGAGACTGAGGAGCGCGCAGACACTATAAAGATATTGCAAAATATTCTTGGGTGGTTTTTTTTGTTTGTTTGTTTGTTTTTATCTTAAGAGGTAAACTGGATAAGTTCCTCCCTGGGTGGCTTAGGACAATAATGAACTTCTGAACCTGAGCAGTGAAGCTGATCTGTCAGAATGGACCCAAGTACAACGGGGCCGTGTTCCACGGTGAAGCAGAATAAATCCTAAGACCTCAGCCACTGTTTTGAATGTCCTAGCCTTAGCTGTCAGTGTGATGATTAAACGCAGCTTCTTGCGATATCCTGCCAAAAGCACTGCTATGGATATGTGATATAAAGCCTGTCCGATTTTGATCGTTACTTACCTTAAGCCTAGAAATGCAGGCCACTGTATTACTACTAACATCACTATACGATGATACTGTGAAGAAAACTAAGTAATGCTGTGTTCATAGTACAGAGATATCATTCCAATGTCTCTGTGCTTTGTGGTTAGAAATCCCCGTATCCAAAATTGTTGTTAGAATGTCTCTGATAGATTTCCCCCCCCCCCCCCCCCAAACCCCCCCACCTGTCTCCTCTCTCTCTTTTTCTGGCAGGTGCTTTTTTGGATTAAAAACGAAAAGAATGTTATCTTGATAAAGCGACACGTGAGATGAGAAGGACAATTTCAAGAAATAGAAGAATAATGCTCTTTTTTGGGCTGTTTGATACATTATGCATAAGTGCCCTGCAAAATTGTTCTTAGCATGTGCTTAGAATAATTGGTAACAGTTGAGGTGGACTGAAACTTAGGAACCTTTGTATTTAAGTAAAGCTAGGAAACTGATTCTGCCTACTTAAAACTCAATGAACAGAGAGATGTTATGTTATGAAATGGTTAATGATGACAGCAGTTGAAGCAGCGCAATAGCTATGTAATGTTCTGCCTAAGAGCACCTCTACACCGCGGTCGGGAGGTGTGCTTGTACGCTTTGTAGGCACAGCCGGACTGTCCTTAGCTGGTCTGAGTACCAGTTGTATGAATACGTGCTCCTAGGGGTCAACCGGAGGAACGTTATCCTCTCTGCTGTTATCCGTGCTAACTAGATCAGAGCCGACGCGAGTCTGGCATGCTGAAAAACCCTGGGCGCAGCCTGGGGACGAACGGCATCCTTCTGCTCGCTGGGCCGCCGTCCCTTAGCGCGCTGGGCCTGGCATGATTTCTTTGTTCCCATGCTCTTGCTCGCTTCACCCCCGGCTCCAGGTTAAGTACTGTTTCAGTTAATGACCAGCCGTCTGTCTAGACTGATCTCTCCCTCCCGATTACCCACAGGGGCTTCTGTCAGCCCTCCTTGGGTCACCGAAGCTTTGTACCTTCAGGACAGCTAATGTGATCTGCTTAATTGCTCCGGGCTCTGCTTTTCAGGTTTCCTTTGGCAGGTGTGTTGAACTGATTTATGTTGGCCTTCAGTTAGCACCTGATTCTCCTTATCTTGGGTTGTCAAAAGAGGCTGGCCTGATTGCGCCTCGAGGGCCTCTACAAAAGGGGTGACCTCGAGGCTAGTAGTGGTTAAACCATCTCTACTACTTAATCAGACATGGGAATGTTTAACATGAGTTAAGGAAAAGATGGTGATGAAAGCTGAAACTGCTGCAGGATTGGGGCTTGGAACAGATTCACCAGTCACCGTTATTATTTAGGCTGAAGGTGTAAAAATAATGTGAAGGAATAACACAGGGAGCTTGTCATCGTTTAAGCAAAGGTTACGGGCGGGCGCTTCTGTTCAGGTGTCATGGGGAGGCTGCAGCTGAATATCCCCCCTGGACTTAAAGTAAATAGGACACAACATTTTTAACATAATTTCTCATGAACGTTTCCAAAGAGAAAAAAATACGGGCTCTGTGTGAAGATGAACAAAGAGAAATGTTGCAGAAACTGCCGCGCAGGTTGCTAGAAGTGATTTAAATAAGTTTTCTTTTGTAGTGGGGGGGAAGTCTGTGTCCTGCTGTGGTGCTTGTAGTAAAGCTCGGTATGTTATTTTTAAAAGGTGTCTACTGTAATGTCAGAAGCACTCCTTTAAAAAAAAAAAAAAAAAAATCAGGTCGATCTTTCTTTTCATTTAAGCCAAAGTTGTTACCCTTCTGCCGGTTTATGTGCTACAACTTCAGTATAAATTATCCGGCTGTTACTCCCTGGTGTGTAATGGAGACCTAGAATTTGGTTAGGACACAACAGGAAGCCGGGGTCTTGGTACAGAGGAACGTGTCGAGTGCAAACTTGACTCAAGTGAACTCTCAGTGAATGAGCTAATGGTATTTCCTCATTGAGTTGATTGCCAGTTTTTTACCTTCTGAAATGCAGTAGCAAAGCCATGTAGCAGTTGAATGGGTGCAGTTTAACTTGCCTGCCGACAGGGACAGGGACTTGCTTTATAGATAGCAACATGGAAATACTGTAAAACTGTCAACTGTGAATAAAGTAGCTTTTTGTTTGTGTCTGAGCTGCATTATAGCAGTAATAGTAGCTGGGCAGTGTTTGCGCTTTTCCTTACCTTCCCGAGACCTCAGGTGCCCTCTGCATTGTGGGTGCCACGTGCCCAAACGTAAATGGGCTGTCGTGGTCAGCTACTACTTTGAAATTTCAGGATTTTAGATTTGACTTCTCCTTTTCCATTTTTAGCTTCCAAAAAATACTCATCACAAGTTTATTATCATGGAAACTGTGTATGAATATAAGCAGGAACTTGTTTTCCTTACAAGTTTTCCTACAAACTCAACGTTTTCTGAAATTCACTTTGTTTGCCTTTTGTTTTACCATGCTGGGCGCAGCAGCGCTTAGCTCGCATCCGGCAGCGTCTAAATCATGGCGCGAAGGAACCGCAGGTAATCTGGGGCTTTGCTTCTAGCAGGGTAGTGTGACCAGGACATGAATTCAGTTGATTAGCTTCTTAAAGAAAATTGGATGCCATGTTCTTCTTCTCCCTTTTAAATGAAAAACTGAGTCTTGAGTTACTAGGTCGTCTTTTTAAATGGAAAAACCAGGAACCCCCCTGATTTCATTCTCTCTCTAGTTGGTTCCAGGCTAACGTCTTTCCTGTAAAGCCCTAGTACGCGTTCTGCCTGCTGTGTTCTTCCTTGACCGGCTTTGCTCCTGACCTCTGCAAGATGGCCGCTGGGTAACAGCTTGGCTGGATACAAAGCAGATGAAGTCCTGTCTCCTCTGAATAGCCTGCAGGGCTCCTGCTGGCTCTGGGGCACCTGGGATTTTATTTAGTGGCTCCCCAGGTTTGGTTCTGGCTCTCTCCGTGCTTCAAAAGGAACGGCAATAGAGAGGAAAACCCTCAAGATAATGCTAGTGCTGGAGGCCAGGGGAACGTTCAAGTAAATCAAATCAGTTCTTTCAGGTAAAACTTGCTGCGGTTGGAGCAACGATAACGTTACACAACCGGAGTTAGCTGTTCTGCCTTGTCGCAGGTTAGTGGCACTTTTGTGGTAGCAGTAAGCTTTGAGCCGTTGTTTGGAAAGAAAAGTATGTGTTATGGGCAAATCCTGTGGTGCGAGGTCCTTTCTGACACTGAGATGTGATTTTTGTGATGTGGCTGAGGGGAAAAGGCTTTGCCTAGTGTTTAAGGCTCCTTTTGTGTCACATCTGTGTGTTCTCCTCATCCCCCACCATTTTTTTCGTTCCCAAAATCATTTTGCAGGAGACTCTTCTCGACACATGAATAACCTTAGCCAAGCTATTTCCTCTCTTTGTGCTTTAGTTTCCCCAGCTGTAATAAAGGGGATGATGAGACCTGCTTTCTTTTGTCAAGCACTTAGAGATGTGCTTACGAAATGTGCTATTAAAAGGCTTTCTATGTATAACTTCTGCACAAATAGTGGTTGTCCAAGTTTATTTGAATTACTTTATCAAAGTCCAAGGTTCTGAACATCCTTTGTTTTTAACAGAGGATGTTATTTATGAAGTAAAAATGCTCAAAATGTGAAACTATTGATTGTTGCTGATAAGTTTATGATATTAAAACATTAAATATAATCACTCTCTATCATCAGCCATTCCGGTGTTTTTGGAAGTTGGAAAGCAATTTTGCATAGCTAGCTGCCTTGATTACCTCAAAGTGATCAATAAAAGGTTTTCAGCAGAGGCTTTTATTGCCAAGTGGTTAAAATGTTCTTCCTGTGTAGCCTGTATATGATGATTTCAGCTCTAGGAGAAAGAAGCAACAGTCCTTTCTGAGGTAACTTAATTACACAGAAATATTTAGACTGTCGGTTTTGGTTTAATTCCCCTCCATCACCCACTTGCACTACCTCAGACTTGGGAGGATTTTCTTACTTGCCGTCGTGCTTGTCAGGTAAGTTCTGCGTCTTGTAACTGCAACAAACCGGCAGAATTCAGGAAGGGGAGAAAACTGTGGGAAGCTAAGACAAATCAAAGCTAAAACTGGGAAGAGCTACTCAAAACCTTTACCTCCTGTTAGCAAAAACACTTCTCAGTGTTTGATGGTTCAAAAACCACGGTGTCTCCTGAACGTGGAAGGCCAAAGCATTACAAACAACCTGTGGGAAAGGGAGAGGAAAGGCGGAGCCCGATGCGAAAGCACTGAGTGCTTATAATCGATGCTTGGTGCCGTGCTCGCACGAGGGCTCAGCACCTGACATCTGCCGTTACTGTTGGCTGAAGTTACTTCAGGCTGAGCCCAGCTAAAATGCTGATACTGGAGCATAGCCCTGAAATCCCTCAAAGCACTACCTTGAACTTAGCACTGATACTACTCACTGTGTGTGCAGTGTGTAGCTTGTCTTTGTGAGTGGTTCAGTGGCAGCTTTTATTTTATTTTGCAGACGGTTTCCATCCTGGAGCAGAGACTGACGCTCACGGAAGATAAGCTGAAAGAATGTCTTGAGAATCAGCAGAAAATCATTCAGAACAAAGTGAACTGACTTTGAGAGAGAGCCGAAGCTGGAGGTGCTTGGAGGTTTGAGGCTTGGTTGTTTGTGCTCTTAACAGACTGTGTGTGACTTGCTTTAATTATTGTGAGAGCAACCAGTTTTTGATTGAAATGTATAGTTATTGCATCTGTAAATACAAAGCTTTGTTACTTTACTAAAATAAAGAGGATTTTATTCATAAGCGTGGATAATGATTATGATCTCCTGTGTTTTCCAGATACTGTAGTAGCCAGAGTGGGGTACGAGGACTGTCTAGCAAGGTTCCGTCTCTTGTGTCTTAGCTGCTGCAGAGTGAGTTTTAACAGTGTTTAAACGTCTTGGAATTGCCAACTGTCTCACACGCATGGTACTAGGCTTGTTGTCGAGGTGTATGCTGGCTTTAGGTCACCAGCGAAGAGCTCCTGGGCGGATATTTTGTGCAGAAGAACCTGATGTGGTGGAAGTTCACAGGTGAAGTCCTAGAGTGGCTGGTGCCTGCAGAAGGGACTCACCCAAGTCCCAAATGGTTGCTGGAGCATCTGGCACAACAGTTGAGATACCGGGTGTTATTTGCGCAGAGAGGCTGTTCCAGTGGGTGAGATTTAACCCGCTCCCTCATGCAGTGTGTGGAAAACAATTTGCTCTGCTTGAGGCTGGAGGAGAGGCTCTAGCTAGTCAGATATGGTGTGGATTGCAAGGGGTTTTTGCTTTATCTTGATCTGCTTTTTAAATTGAAGGCAGAGGAGGGAGGAGAAAGTGGAGGCAACCAAACTGCAGAGCACTTGCTGCAATCCTAGAACTTCTTCATCCTCGGAGGAGGAAGGCGGCTGGAATACTTTTAATTTTCAATCATGTTGCAGATGTTTTCACAGTTGAATAGCTCATCACTCACACCTACACTCCTGCTGCTCCCCCTGCTGCTCCTCTAAGACTTTCTTTGAGGGCTTTAGCAGGTGTTCAATATGTAGCTTCATAAGAATTCGGACTTCTGGGAGATCCTGTTCTCCAGCACCTTTTCTGCTAACATGCACTGGCGATGTCCTTTCTTGCAGTAAACTGCCTTGACCGATATTACCCACGTTCCTGGAGAAATGAGCTGCAGGAACTTGGCCACATCCAGGTTAATGAAAACCCTCCTCAGCACAGTGTTTCTGACCCCTTGAAAATGAGTTTACATCAATTCCTGCCCTTGGCTGTCCCTTCCCGTCGTTGCTTATGTTCCAGACTCGCGCAGCTTCCAAAGGCTCCTGTCTCCAGATGTGCAATGGGCGTTGTGGAAGCTTGACTGAAGTCTGGCTGGCATTCGTATTTCACACAGGGCTTAGCAGAGCTTAAGGCCAGTCTTGTTTTTGTGCACCTGTTTCTGTTGAAGGCTGTGTCTGCCTGTACTTCCTTAACCATGTTAATGCTACTGAGAGCTGCCTAGTTCCATTTGGATGAGGCTATTTGCATTCCCCTGCCACCACCAGAAAGTTTCTAATGTCTTTCCATTTTGGTACTTTCCACATCTCTAAGAACTTCTTGTTGGCATTATCACCAATATTTCATTCTTTTTGATTTGCATCAAGCCAAGAGCTTTCTCATTTCCCAGCTTATTTGGTTGATTATAAATCTGAGTTTCTCTCTGCTCAACCACGGGCTGTTTGTTTGCCGTTTCCAAGCTCTGACTCTGAAAAATCATTATTTTCTCTTAGATTAAGCTAATGGAATCAATTCAGTGATATTCTTTGGTGCTCTTGCTATAAGCTTTCAGTGGCTTTCTGTTGAGACACTGACATCGTTTTCATTGGAGTTCTACTTGTGTCCTGATGCTGATGGGTAGGGAGGAGGGGAGTCAAAAGTAGGTAAGGCTTATTTACTGCCAGAAGAAGGCTATTCCTATGTTGATCTGGTATGACTGAAGCAGTGACAAAAATGTGTTGCAAGAGCCTGATTTATCACCTTGATCCCAAATGTTCTGGACTAGCCTTTGTGGGGGGAGGATCGGGTTTGGAGGGTAGAGGAAAATTTAAGTTACTTCAGTGCTCATTAATTTTTTAAACTTAGTTTTTAAAAATAGCATTCTCCTCCTTTAATTCGTATTTTCTAACGTCTCGAAGACCACAAAAGCAATTTGTATATAGTATTTTATGGAGAATGCCAATAAAAATGATTTGGATGCATTTGATATAGACTCTTTTTCCGTTCAGATGTTCTGAGCATAATCCATTTGAGAGATAATTGTGCTTCTAAAATAGATGAGAAGCTCAGGTGCTGAAAGGCAAGCTAGTGGAATGCAGGGAAAGCTGCTTTTCTGTAGTCAAGCTCTTAAAAGCATTCATTTGATCAATACAACGTATTTTTGTAACGATAACCCATAGGTTATGGGTGTGGGGAGTTATGGGGGAGGGGGCAATCTAAGAAACGCTATGATTTTGGTAGCAAGACAGATAATACAAAGGGAGTCTCTTCCGACAATACTCTCAGCTCAATAGTTTCCTTGTCTCAGATCTCAGTAACTTGCTCTCTCTTCATTTCTCTCCTCACCACCTCTTATCTTAAGAGGGGCTATCAGGACTTACCAAGTACCAGTGCTTCTGAGGGGTGTGTATCACTGGAGACAAGCAGTGTGTGGAACGTGAAAGACTAATAATCCTTGTACATAAACGTTGAGCAAAACCTTAAAAATCTGGGGAGCGCAAGTCCCGTTGTCTGTCTTGTCCCTAGGTTCCACGCTCAGTTTTATCTGGTAAGCGCCAGATTTCTGGAGAGCTGAGGACTCCAGAGTGAGTTAAATCCACTTCTGCTTTTACGCTCATCGTTTTCTTGACTTGGGAGCATCTGCAATGACTGATTTGTGAAGCTGTTAGCCCAGGGAGCAGTGAAATAGCTGAGTGAGGAAGACTACTTTGTATGTGTCTGGAGCGAGGACTGCTTCTGTGCAGTGTGAGGACTGCTCACCTTGAAAACTGTTTGTGGTGAAATCTCTCCAGGAGGAGGCTACGAAGAGTTAAGGATTTTGTTTTGGATCTCCGAGGCACGCTTGAAGCCAAGTTCTTAAAAAAGTAGTTTAATTTGTTGCCATTACATTTGCCAGACCTATGACCTCACTAAACTTTTAGCAACAGTTCTTTGTGCCGAGATTGGCCCTTGGGGAAACTGGCTATGCCTGAAGGCTGCTGCAAATGGATTTTTGGCCGCTGTGGGTACGGAGCATGTTAAACATAAGCATGATCTGTGAAAAAGTAAGAATCTTCAAGCACTGCCCACTTTCCTTCCTGTCTGGGAGCTGGAATTGGACAGATACCACAGTTTAGCTCATAACTGAACAGGCAAAAACACAGAGTACTGTGATATTGACTGTTCTGGCTGGAAGCTAGGTGGCCAGGAGAATCCTCTGTCACAGTGTCACAACTGGACATGCGTCTGCCAGTTAACTAGAAAATAAAATCCAACTATGATCTAAGTTGTTGGGCTTAAGCTAGCCAATTTCCTTGCACAAACCACTTATATAATGTCTTAAAAGATCTGCTTTTGAGCTAAATGTTTTTTGCAACATGAGTGAGTTGGAGGGGAGGGAAACGAATCATTCCGCAAAGGTTCGTCACTTGTGACATGAAAGCAGAGGTATGTTTCTTCCCGTTGTTTTAGGAACGCTTGGTCTCCCCATGCAACGCCAGCGCTTCTCAAATGACACAATCTGATCGGCTATTGTTACAGGAAGGAGACGTGATGGGAAAGAAGATTCTCTCATTGGTGCTCATCTGTACGTTTAGCCTGGATTTAGCCCGCAGTAGAAAGTTTCACCTGTGTCTTGGGAAAGCTGGGGTCTGTTGCCAGCTCTGCAACAGAACTGCTGTTGCCCGCAAACATCATTCTTTATCTCCTCATTTTCCTTGTCAGTGGCAAAAATTACTTTTGTGAGATACAGGTTCTGTGGGTGAAGAGCTGATTAGAGATTTGAATGTTATGTAGCAGGGAAGAGACAAGTCAGTTTGCCTCTGAAGCACAGGCCTCTAGCATCCTTCACTTCTTCTCTTTTTCCTCGAGGTACAGTGGCCGGTGCTGCTGGGGAATGTGTGCTGCCATTGAGAATGAGTGACAGCTGTCATTAGGGCTTTCAGATGGAGGCTGCAGTCACCTGCTTGCTGAGCAAGAGCAAGGTACGGCTGCCCCGTCCTTTTCCCCTCCCCCTAACCCCCTCCGGGGGGTTGGAAAAGGTGCCTGTTTGGGGGGGGGGGGGGAATAAAAACAAGCATTTGAAGTTGACTGGGATCACTTCTAAGCAAAGGTCAGGAGTACAAGCTTAGGCCTGCATACTGGGAGAGGGTGCCATTGGCGATCTCTGGGGAATGAGCATCATAAACAACTGGGGATGTTCTGGCAGAGGGTGACACTCTGTTGCCTGCTTAGCAGCAGCTGAAGCAGGTTGAGTGACCACTGCCTGAGGCCACAGCACTAAGGATTTGCAGTCTGCAAAGGCACCTTTCCGCAGAGATCACCCTAAGGCTTCTTTATCCTCATTCCAGCCCTGCCTCCCTAATAACGCAATACAGCTGGAAACCCACAGTTTTGTTGTCACAGAACAGTGAGGCTAAATCAGCATGGTGACCCAGTGCCAAAAACCTGTCACCTCAATTCTCCTTCACTGCTTCTGTTCCCTGCAGGCATCTTCCATGCAGCTAATAACTCATTGCTGTGTCCCAGACACCTGTCAAGTTGAGGATATGGGGGCAGTCTGCATGGCACAACAATCCTTTAGGCTGCAGGGATGGTTTTTTCAGAAAACGTCCAACAAGTAGTGCATGTAAAGGCTGATCCTGCTTACTCCAAGAGCTCGTGGCTGCATGGAGTGTGCTGTTGGTGACAGCTGTTCTTTCAGTTGATAACTGAAAGGGTTAAGCTGAAAAGTTATCTGGATGGAGTGCTAGCATTGCTTCACTTCCCTTTTTACACTCCCTCTGTGAGTATTTTCTTAACAGCTGTCTGGGAGCTGTTCCATTCAGACTTCCCCTCGTGTGGGCCTATGAAAACACCCAGTCTGCTGTTCTCGGGAAAGTTTCCATTGTCACATTTGCACACCCCTGCTGCAAGGCCAAACCCAGCCTTCGGTACATCAGCCTGAAATAGATAGGTATTCCTTACGGAGGGGAAATTTCACTGCTCAGCTGAAACGGGCAGATCTTATGAGCCCTCCCAGCTTCTGAGCGTGCTCAGCACCAT